GCCTCTTCAGCCTCTCTACCGTCCTGTTCGCATTGGTTTGCTAGCGTGTTCCATCGGCGCTGACCTGCTGCTTCTCCAATCCATCTGTGAAGACAGCTTTCTTACTCAGGCGACAAGTTGCATATGCGCCTAGCTTTTGTTGCTCGTGGTACAGAACCTTTAAATACTTGAAATCGGCCACTCCACCCGGTACTAGCACACTTACATCGACACCAAGTAGATCGGGGTAAAAGAAGCTTTCATTCGTTAGCGTTTTGCCATCCTGGAATCGCATTGAGGTACAAATACATAAAGTAAATAAAAACTTATCGTAGGATGTGACTGAACGTCAACTGCTGAACCTCCGATCAGGAGAACGCACACACAACACAGCACGCGACTAATGTTCTTGAACAACACATCCATCCCCAAACAACATGACGCCTATTTTTTCATGACGCCTATTAAAATAGCTTTATTGTCCTCATATGGAAATTGCTTCTTCCAGATATCGTGTTCAGGGTGTCCATCTTGCTGGAACTGTTTTACTTTTATCGTATCTCCATACGTCCCGTTGCCGCCAAAAGATCCATCAACCATACAAGTCGGCATATTGAATCACTGTTTGTTCAAAGTTCAGCTCAGGTTTGACACCTTTAGTTCGGTTGATGGGCGTATTGGAATACGAGTCTGATGCATCGCCATCGACACTCTTCTGATCGAGTCCGTGTATGCAGCCCTTGCAAAAGCCAGACCAGTTCCACTTCTGGGAGAAGCAGCAACTTAGTGTCCCTATTTTGTACGTGTTCGGTTCATTAAAATCAAGTTCAGCTCAGGTTTGGCACCTTTAGTTCGGTTGATGGGCGTATTGGAATACGAGTCTGATGCATCGCCATCGACACTCTTCTGATCGAGTCCGTGTATGCAGCCCTTGCAAAAGCAAGACCAGTTCCACTTCTGGGAGAAGCAGCAACTTAGTGTCCCTATTTTGTACGTGTTCGGTTCATTAAAATCGTCGGTAGAAGGTTGTTCCTTTGCCGCATGCAGGGAGGCATGTCGCATGCCACTTTTCACGACACCATCCACAACCTAGACCCTAAAACCCCTGTCTCCTCCTTATGAATTACTGCTAGGCCACACTCATCACAACGTATAGGCTGTGTTTACCATTGTATGGCAGCCCAGTTGTGTTCTCTAATGGGTTGCTTAGAGTATGACATTGCAGTAGGTGATATTGCTATGTATATGTGTTTATGCATGTATATGAACGCGAGTATGTAGCTTTGAATAGCCTATTGCGTTCAGAAGCCACAGTTGAAGCGGGATTTCTTGCCCGCCCAGTTCTCAAACAGTAGATGCTCCGTGACATAACGTCTATTCCGTTATGATGCCGAACAAGACAACCGACGGTCGTTCACTATGCCAGTCAGGAGAACGCACATACAACACAGCACGCGACTATTGTTCTTGAACAACACATCCATAATTCACCCACAACGTGAGGTTATCCCCAACAACATAACGCCTATCAAAATAACTTTATTGTCCTATAATCCAAAATAGTCCAAATGACCGATCAGAGAGACCGCAGAATGGCCTGATAAATTTAATCCAATTAAATACTGAGGCACAGATGGCCTATATAAGTTTGTACCAGCGATGGAGCCACCGGGCCTGTTGTAGAGAAGAACCTTGATTTCCGCTCGAGACCCCATCCAGAGGGCCATGTATTAATCCGAGAACAAGTCCTTAATTACTCTCGAGCTGATGACGCAAAGCGTTATTAGCGTATTTAGAAATAAGTATACTCCTGTAGTCTTTCAATGAAGTGGTAGTAAAGTTGTATATATATCCGGCAAAGAAAAGCGGGCATGGGATCACGAAACAGTTACTATAACCACATAGAATATATCGCCATAGACATCTAACTATGTACTGAGATTACAACAAGTTTATTTACTATCGTTGAAACTTCCACAAAATACATTCCCGGCAAGTATTAACCGTATGAATATACTAGTGCACCATAAATGGGCAAACACTTTTGACCACTATTTGTAACGCTATATTTCGTTAGTAATAAGAAACGCATCGACTCCACAGCAAACTTAACCAGTAAGTAACTTCTAGAACTAAAATCGCAGGCGTGTTCGCAATAACACGTCTACTGTAAACAGAAGAAACCGATATTTTGTAACGCTATATTTCGTTAGTAATAAGAAACGCATCGACTCCACAGCAAACTTAACCAGTAAGTAACTTCTAGAACTAAAACCACAGGCGTGTTCGCAATAACACGTCTACTGTAAACAGAAGAAAACGATATAGGCCTCTTCATAAAATGTTGATATTGTCTAGAGCACAAATATTCGAGACAAATGTTACTATCACTCATATCGCTTCTTAGCCCAAGTTGGGGGGGGGGGGAGAGTCACTATAATCCCGGTGTTGACTACCTGGTGGTCCATAATCTCCTAAATACAACAGATGATGTGGATAGGTAATTCACTATAACCCTGGTGATGGCTAGTTCACGATAATCCTGGTTATGGTCAGAACATCGAAAAATAAGTAAAACAAAAATCTATTTGTTTGTTGCTTGACTAGTGCACTGGTGGATGCCTATGTCATATGTGCCCCGGATATAAGACTTTTACGTCCAGCCACCTTGCTTGCTTCAATTTCTTAATAAGGCGTATTCCGGCACGCCCTAGTCTAATCCCAAGTGAACTGAACTCACTACAACAACTACAGAACCAGCATGACTACCAAGGCATATGGACTCTCCATCAACATATCGGGAACTCTCTTATCTATGAACAACGGGTACCAATTCATCCCCATGCAGTACTGGTCGATAAATTTCATTACTCTACTGAAGTACTATTTCAAGAGTTCGGTACAGACCAATTCTTTGAGACTTCTGGTACCGCCTATATTACTTCCCGCTATGGCTAGCCAGGATAATTTAAATATATTAGGTGTGTGGTGTGGTATCAGACAGCCTCCAACTTCGCTCCGAAACAGAACCGCGGATAATAATCTCACCCTTCTTGGTATCACGTTCAAAACATATCAGACTGACTCAGCCCACACTACGACTTTAACGAGTGTGGGTCGGCTTTATTCCACGCAGTCACATTTTTTTTAACTCCCATCCAACGGTAGAGGTATTATGTATTCATCGTCGTGAACTATCGCACCGAGTTGCATCACTCGCCCTGAGCTTCTCGCGGCAGTTCGACAATCTTAACTTCCCTTCAATTTTTCCAGAACCACTCCAACGAATATGATGCCTGATGTGCATGTACACACAAAAATTGACCCAAATTGAAATACAAAATATTGTTCCTAAGCAATTGGATTTATATACGAACAACAACCGAACAAATTTATGCGCGAGTCAATAATATATACTAAATATGAATGTAGAGAAAGGAATAGAAAACGAGAAAAAATATTCGCGAACCGGGAATTGAACCCGGGTCTTCCGCGTGACAGGCGGAGATACTAGCCACTATACTATCCACGAGATGCAACTATATGTTAACAACTATTATATAACATCATATACGGTCACAATATTTTCTCTCCCGAAGGTACATATGACGGTAGTTTTTGCTTATATTCCCTCAGGAGTCGTTAGAGTAGCCTATATATAGTACCAGAGCACTCATCATATCTACACTATCAGTTCTTGACTAGTAATCGAGATACTTTGCACGCTTGTACTATTTTATGAATACGTGACATTTCATCCAACTGGAAACTATAATCTAGTGGGTATTTCGGATACATTGAAGCTGCTCGCGACGAACTTACCGGGGTCGATATTATAATATTTATCAAGAAAATCGAATTTACAATCACGTCGGATATCGTACGAAGTCCGGCGCTATCGTATCAGGATATCCTAGTCATGGACGAATTGAGAGCATCGAATCGAGCACACCTCGGTCATAGAGATCGATCCCAATTAATATCAGATAGCAGGGCATGGTTTCTGGATGCTATTGTATTGTATTATAAGTTAGACTGATTCACGTATTACTGCAGTTGAACCATAGACACCGCCAAGATAAAACAAAAACAAAGCACATGTTTGTTCCCGGATGTATAAGTGCTGTTGGATACGTGTGCCTATATTTATACGAAATTATCTAAAATTTGACATACGATGAAGTTGTGATGTAAGGACCCAAAACATGGACTGGGGAGTCAGGGTTTTTGGCTTGAGACAAATGTGCTATAACACAGAGAAAATCATATCCATTGACCATGTAGCATCATCCAACATGACGGAAAAATAGAGGAAAAATAGGTGTATATGAGAGAGACTGCTGAATGAATACCTTGTTCATCATATATATATACGTATACAGCATATCCATTGACAATGTAGCATCATCCAACATGACGAAAAAATAGAGGAAAAATAAGTGTATATGAGAGAGCATAACTTGTTCATCATATATATATATATATACGTATACAGTATTAGTTAAAAATAAACTGTTTTTGTCGTATCTAATATAAGAACAGCATGTGTACCTACTGAAAACAATATGAATATTTTGTGTCTAGTTTAGTCATACTTTACGACCAATACAAATCAACAAATATTACCAAGTACTAGCTCAACCCGACCTGCGGATAGTTATGATCAGCCAAGCTAGTACATGGGCTATATTTAAACCATTCTTGATCACGGTGACATTGTCAATTGCTGGTTCTACCTGATGTCCAATCGATATCGTTGTTACCCAAGCTCATTTTTTCAAACTAGTAGGACGGAAACACTTTATATGTTGAACATCCCATACACTCATCCATTTGTACGTGATTATAGAACGTTCGCTCGTTGTTCCTGGCCCTACTCCGCCGCACATATGGAGGGATACATTGGCGATATTCGACTGCATTAATTGTGTGCGGACGCTCCTACGTTGGTGCTCCTGAATAATTTAGCAGCCACAACCACACATTTTTCGACAACAGAATCGGAACGCATACGTAAATTTATGTTAGAATTGATGTCCCTGGGGGCGGTCTCCAATTCTATTAAAATCTGGACGAGTATGTTGCTATGTCATACCCTCGCACTCCTCTCTTTCACATCAAGAGCATTGAATACAACCTTCTACTCGGCAATCACATATATCGATAACAACTACCTATTGTGTTGTGGCAGAAAAGTCTTTCGTATTGACATAATTAGACGGTGTCCATTCATTGTTAGCATAGCAATATCTCCTGTAGCTATCGCTACTGGGCTCCCGGCCAATACTCACGATTTTATCCGGTCTAATTCATAGCATTTATCGTAGATATCAAGAGCACAAAAATTTGATTTAGGTAACAAAGATCAGACAGCCGCATATGTCAATGGAAACAGTTATTGAAAAATAGAACACGCCTTGTTTGAATAGGGAGCCACTGTCCTCATAGAAATTCTTTGCTTACTATTACACAGTTTACTACACTAAATGTTAGGGTACAGTTGGACTATGAAATTACTAGTCGAGCATCACTGTATTCGAGTGTCCCCAGCCTGATCACACTTTCGCACACATACCACGACTACCTCACATCGCACTATATCCATAATCACTGTATGTGTTTCAGTAACTAATAGTTCAAAATTAAGTCACTTCTCGATCCTCATTTATATGATAACATACGCACAAATATACTTAATTAGTAATATTCACAGTACTGAATAGTTTCACACAAATATGCATATTTAGTAATATTCCAAATGATAAATAGTTTCATCCAATATATGTCCTTGTGTATTATATATATTTCATATAAAGATATATACGCACGATCGTTACCACATATATATGTACAGTTCAACATATGCTATGTCTTTTCATAAGGGTCCCACTTATTGCTTCTCAAAATATAAACTCAATTCTACCGATGGGTTGTCTACAAAGGCCTTTTTGTACTTGTAACCTGAGAATCATGATTTCAACTCGACAACAAGTTTATAACACAAAAACTCATCAGAGAATCAATGCGCGCATTATACATAGTAAAACTTGTTGCATGTAGAATGGCATGTGGTATTTATCAAGATTCAAGTTTCCTATATAAATATCGAACGTGATAAAAGAAATCACCTAGCCGGAAATCGAATCCGGGTCTACCCCGTGGCAGGGGGCAATTATACCACTAAACCACTAGGTGTATGTCTATGTAAAGTATTGTCAAAAAAGGAATTAATGGTAGGTGGACGTAAGAGGTGGTTCACACTCAAAGTCACTCTTTACTCTTGTCGTCATTCAATCAAATTTATTCCACTAGACACCATATATTTTGATGAACATAGTATATTTCGCGATTTTTCCCTGCCAAAGATAACGTCAACGATATCCAGGTTGAATTTACGTAACAAAACAAGAAGTCAACACCTACGTAAGTAAGGCATGTGGATATGTTTTTTAAAAGTACAA